AGTGAGACCGGTGGATGGGGCGCCGCCACTGTCGGCGGCACCGGCGGATGGGGCACCGCAACTTGCGGAGACAAAAGCGGCTGGGGCACTTCCGGCGGAGGATGGGGGACTTCCCGCGAAGACCAAAGGGGGGGAGAAGAAAGAGAGACAGAACCTGCTATTGTTCCTCTCGATCGTCCCCCACGCCGCCCTGCACCTGCGTTACCTCCACCTGACATCCAGCCGCACCGCGACTGAAGAGCAGAGTTAAGCATATTGATGTGAGGTACTTCCTCCTGCGAGAGTTGCAGTGACGCGGCCAGGCACGCTTGGACTTTGTGGCCTCAGATGCCAACACTGCAGACGTCTTCACCAAGGCCTTGGCGCCTGGTGACCACCACATGTTCTGTGTGCAGTTGGGACTTGTTGAGGTAGGCCCTCAGTTGCTGTAGACTTGCTGTTTGCTCTCCTTGTTGTGCTTGTGCTCGGAATTTGTGTGGTGTCCTTGAGATCCACCCTGAGCTTACTTTGCTTGCTGCATTGACTAGTCTTGTGACTGTTTGTTCACCCTGCTTGCTTTGATGCCCCTCACGTAGCCTATGGGGGTGTGTCAAATGTTATTATAGGTTCTTAGGCTACAATGAGTAGCACTCTAGGGAGTACAACACTTTTAGGGTTGCTATTTGTATCCCTTGTTTCTCTAGTTCACTGATTCCTTTGTGTTCCTACTTTAAGATGGTATCGGTTAGGTTTGTATCCTAGCCAAGCCTAGCCCGTGTCCATGCCCTTCGCGCCCTAGCGCTCTCCGCGCCCTCCGCGCTCTCCGTGCCCTCCGCACCCTCCGTGCCCTCCGCGCCCTAGATCCCTCCGTGCCCTCCGCGCCCTCTGCACCCCAGATCCCTCCGTGCCCTCCGCACCCTAGATCCCTCCGTGCCCTCCGCGCCCTCCGTGCCCTCCGCGCCCTCCGTGCCCTAGATCCCTCCGTGCCCTCCGCGCCCTCGATCCCTCCTCGCCCTCGATCCCTCCGCGCCCTCTGCGCTCTCGCGCCCTCCGCGCCCTCAGCGCCCTAGTGCCCTCCACGCCCTCTGCGCCTAGCCTGCTCCTTCGCCAGCGCCCGAGCCCTAGCCCGTCGCCCCAGCCCGCGCCCTAGCCCGTCGCTCCAGCCCGCGCCCTAGCCCGTCGCCCCAGCCCGCGCCCTAGCTCGTCGCCCCAGCCCGCGCCCAAGCCCGTCACCCCAGCCCGCGCCCCAGCCCGTCGCCCCAGCCTGCGACCTAACCTGTCGCCCTCGCCCGTGACTAACCCGCGCTCTCGCCCTAGCCCCAGCTCGCGCCCTGCCCCAAGCCGCGCCCTCGCCCTAGGTCGCGACCTTGCCCTTTACAGCGCCCTAGCCCTAGGCCGCGCCCTGCCCTGAGCCGCGCTCTGCCATAGGCCGCGCCCTAGCCCTAGGCCACGCCCTGCCCTACCCGCGCCCTCGCCCTTAGCTCGCGTGCCCTCACCCTCGCTACCCGATTGCGCCCCACTTTGCCCAACTGTTGGCCCCTCCTCTTAAACTGTTCCCCGGCCCCACGCCATTCCTACAGCGGTTGGCTTCCATTTCAATGGCTGGCAGCCGCTCTTCCCACCGGTAGCGCGGCCTAGGACCGGTAGATCCCCACTCCTAGACTAGTTTCCTCCGACTGTCTCTAGTCTACGTCCAGATGGCGGTTCTAGCTGTCTCTAGTCCCCCTTCTTGCTCCTAGCTCCGCCTGCTCCGCGCTCCAGCCGCCTCTAGCCTAGCCTCCAGTATGGACTCCCGCAGCCTTTGTTTCGATGCGGAGTGATGCTCGATAGAGTTCGGCACCTTGCTCTGCCAGACTCAGCGCTACCTCACCAGTCAGCGCCAGGACGGTGCCACCTTGTACGCCCACACGTCCGGCGCCCTCCAGACACCCCCGCATCTCGAGCCCCTCCCTGCCGTGCCCCCACCGACCCCGGAGGCGCACGCAGACTACGCTCGTCTCGTCTTGGCGCAGGACGTTTGGGACTCCCGTGACGCTGCGGTTGCACTTGCGCTGATCAAGCTCCTTCCACCGACTGAGGCCGCTCACTTCGACCTGGTAGAGACTGCAAAGGAGGTGTATGATGCTATTTCTGCACGCTATTCCACCCCTTCCTCTGCCTCCCTCAGCCGCATCCTCATGCCGTTCGTGTTTCCCGACCTTGGCTCGTTTGCGACTGTCTCCGACCTAGCCTCACACTTGCGCTCCCTTGTCGCTAGCTACCGAGAAGCTTGCACTGAGGCTCAGCTTCTTATTGCCCCTCCTCCTATCTGGCTCACCGTCCACTGGGTAGTCACTTGTCTCCCTGACCGCCTCTCCACTGCCCGTGACGCACTTCTCCAGCAGCACCCAAGTGAGCTTACGATTGATCATCTCGAGACCACTCTCGGGAAGATCGAGAGTAACCTCCTCTCTGTTGCCTCAGCCACTGACGCAATTGCTCCTCGTCTGTTTTAGGGTTGTGCTGTCCCCTAGCTTCCTACCTTCACTGCTACTCATGCCTCTGCTACTGTGTCGGTCTCTGAGGACACTGCAGCCGTTTCTGCCGCTGACAGACAGAAACGAGGCAAGGGAGGCAAGAAAGGGGGGAAGGGGGGTGGCGACTGTGGAGGAGGTGGCGGTGGTGGAGGCGGCCCTGGGGGCGGCAGTGGTGGTGATGGTGGTGGTGCACCAGGCGGAGGGAGCTCTGGAGGAGGTGCTGACCCGCCTGCTGGAGGAGGTTCGACCAGCGGTGGTGCGGGGCCCCAGCAGCAGCAGCCACAGCAGAGACAACAGCAGCAGCAGGGATAGCAGTAGTGGCAGGCATCACAGCAGTTTCAGCCGTGGGGACCCCCACTGCAGTGAGGTCCGCAGCAGCACTGGGGCCCTTCGCCACAGTGGGGACCTGGAGGACTCGGGAGCACTGGCCGCAGCAGCAACACTACCAGCTGAGCCCCTCGCCCCCCGCGGTGCGACACCAGCGCCTGCGACCACTGGTGCGTCATCGGACTGGGCAGTCCCGGTGTCTGTGGCCGCGACGACCACTCTGTGGCGCGGTGCTTTCGCCGCCTCAACGACCTCTACCGTGCGCGCTGGGGTCCTGAGGCAACCACCCCGCGCTGGGCTCGCCTGCTAGCCCGTAAGATTCCTGGATTTGAACTGTCTATGGACGATGCTCGTCAGTATGCTTTGTATGCTGATGTTCACTATAGTGCTAATGGATCCGTCTGCTCGCGTGTTCGTAGTCTAGGATGCTTGCCTCCTGTTAGTGTAGACCTGTGCCTCTCTAGCCTAGGTGCTTGTGTTTCCTCTCTAGGTGCTTGTGTAGCCTCTGGACCTGACACGACTCCGGCTGAGGCGTCTCTGTCATTCACGCTGGACTCTGGCGCGTCGCAGTGTTTCTTCCGCGTCCACACGACCCTCACACCACTCCTTGCTCCGGTTCCGGTAGCTCTGGCTGATCCTTCTTCAGGACCAGCAGTTGCGCGCAGCTCCACCACCCTCCCATGCCTTGTGGTCCTCTTTGGTGTCCTGCGCGGCCTCCACATCCCCTCGTTCCCTCAGAACTTGGTGGGTGTTGGATACCTCCGGGACAAGGGGATCACCGTTACCTTTGTGGGGGGTGGGAGGATTGCGGTCTGTACAGACGCCGCTACAGGTGCTGTTCTGGCCACGTTCAACAGGGAGTCCCGCCCCGGTCTCTACGTTCTCCACACTGACCGCTCCCCGGTTTCTTCCTCCGCTCAGGTCGCTGCATCCCCTCAGGTCCCAGTGTCTAGTCCGGTCACTGTGTCTGGTCAGGTAAAGGTGTCTGGTCAGGTTGCTGCGACTTGCTCTTGTCGGTCCCTAGCTCACCCGACCGTCTTGTGGCACCACCGCCTTGGCCACCTGTCGCTCCCCCGCCTCTGCAGCATGGCCAGTCACAATCTTCTACACTGGGGACACTCGTGGTAGTCATGTCTGTTGTCTCCACTCCGACCATGGGGTGAGTTTCGCTCTGGCGTCCTTGCCGGGTTTTGCGGCGAGCAGGGCATCAGACAGTCCTGGACGTTGCCGGAGTCCCCACAGTAGAATGGGGTTGCTGAGCACCGCATTGGCTTGGTCATGGACATCACTTGCACGTCCATGATCCATGCCCGTGTGCCCCATTTTTTGTGGCGCCTACGCGTTGCGCTACGCCGCGCACCAGCTGAACCTCCGGCCGCGTGTCTCGCGGCCAGAGGTTTTACCGACCAGTCTTTGGAATGGGTCCCCTGGTGTTGGGTCGGCCTTTCACGTCTGGGGCTGCCTTGCGCTTGTCCGCGACACCTCTGCGGACAAGCTCTCGGCTCGCGCCATCCCCTGTGTCTTCCTTGGTTTCCCGGTGGGCTCTCCCAACTACTCCTTCTACCACCCGCCCCTCCACCAGTTTCTAGACTCTTGTGACGTCTAGTTTGACGAGTCAGTGTCCTACTACACCCGGTACCCCTCTCGAGGTCTCCTGTTCCCCCCCCCCTCTTCCTCGCACCCTCTCTTCCCCCTGCTCCCGCTCCTCCGGTACCCCCACCTCCTCCTGGTTCTGCCCCATCAGGTGTGTCTCATGCTACCCCTCTACCCTCGGTCTCGCGTCAGGTAGCGTCTCCCTCCCCGCAGTCCTCCTCACAGTCTCCTCAGCAGCCTTCGGCACTTCCGCGACAGGTTACTGTGGACTCGGTTGGTGTTGGAGCTGGAGGTGCAGCCACTGGTGGTACTCGGTCTGGGGGTGCTCGTTCGAGGGATGCTGGAGCTGGAGGTGCTGGCGCAGGTGGCGCTAGCTCTGGGGGTGCTGGAGGTACTGGCACTGGAGGTACTAGTTCTGGGGGTGCTGGAGCTGGAGGTGCTGGCACTGGCGGTGCTAGTTTGGGGGGTGCTGGAGCAGGAGGTGCTGGCGCTGTAGGAGCTGGTACTGAGGAGATGGGAGTTGGAGGCTCGCCTACTGCGTCGCCCACTTCGCCTCCCCACTGCCACGGCACCCGTTTCCAGGCCCTACGCCGGCTTGAGCGCGAGGAGCAGGAGCAGTTGGAGCACGAGAGGCAGGAGTTGCAGCAGTTGGACCAGCAGCAGCAGTAGCAGCAGCCATCACCTTTGCAGCAGCTGTTCCCTCCAGTGAGTGGCCTTCGGGCCCTTGGTCTTCCTTCCTCTCCTCCCGTTCACTCACAGTCTCCTACCGCGTACGGTCCTACGTTTCCTCCTCCGGACTCGACTCCGGTTGTTTTATCTCCTCCTCAGTCACTGTCACCTCCGCTTGTTGTCCGCCACGAATGGGCTAGTCGTTGTCCTCCACGTGCCCGGCCCTCGTCTCCTCTTGCCGACCTCTGCACCGTCTTGTTTCGTTCTCCTCGGGGAGGAGAGAGTGCGCAAGTGGCGAGAGGGAAGGGAGGAGAGCACGCGCACGTGGCGAGAGGGAAGGGAGGAGAGCGTGCGCAAGTGGCGAGAAGGAAGGGAGGAGAGCGTGCGCAAGTGGCGACAGGGAAGGGAGGAGAGCGAGCGCAAGTGGCGAGAGGGAAGAGAGGAGAGCGTGCGCAAGTGGCGAGAGGGAAGAGAGGAGAGCGCGCGCAAGTGGCGAGTGGAAAGGGAGGAGAGCGTGCGCAAGTGGCGAGAGGGAAGGGAGGAGAGCGCGCGCAAGTGGCGAGAGGGAAGGGAGGAGAGCTCACGAAAGTGGCGAGAGGGAAGGGAGGAGAGCGTGCGCAAGTGGCGAGAGGGAAGGGAGGAGAGCGTGTGCAAGTGGCGAGAGGGAAGGGAGGAGAGCACGCGCAAGTGGCGAGAGGGGGTCCGCGAGGTGGGATTGGTGGGGAACCGCGTGGGGGGGAACGAGGGGGAGCGCGGAGGGGGGCGCACGGAAGCCCGCGTGGGGGGTGCGGGGGGAAGCTGGCAGGGGAGGGCGGTGCAAGTGAATCCAGCGGAGTCAGTGTGAGGTGGGGGGAGGAGAGGCAGACAGCGAAGCAGAAGCGAGTGAGCTGGTATGGGGTTAAAGGGACCTGTGGGTATGGTGGGAGGAATAGTGGAGATGGGAGGTATGGAGATGGAGGAAGGCATGGAGGTGGCGCGGGATGGGCGGAACGTGAGAGGCGTGCAGGAAGGTGTGGTGGGTGAGAGGCGATGGTGGGAGAGGCGAGGGAGGGGTGAGAGGAGGATGGGATGGAGGGGAGATGGGGAGACAGCAGGGCAGCAGGGGAGGTGAGGGCGGCGAGCAAGAGTGGGATGGGGTGCAGGGGGGAGGAGGGGAAGGCGGTAGGGAGTGGTAAGCCACTGGCTGAACACACTGGTGGCTGCACTGTACATAATTGAATTCTTAAAATCATTCTGACTCTTAAGTCGACTCAAAAGGGTCCCTGCAAAATAATGGCAAGTCAGCTAACAGCATTTATTAGCGAGGAGGAAAGCAGCAGGTGCGGATCAGAGTTGACAAGCCTTGGCACTACCCTCATACCCCTGACCTCACACCCCTACCCCCTCTCTCGTCCCTACCCTTTGCACACTCTCCCCTCCCTGCCCCCCTAACACCCTAAACCACTGGTAAAGCAGAAACTCATGCCCCTTTACCCCCTGGCCTCTCCCCATTCCCAATCTCTCTCCCCATCCCCACTCCCCTCTACACTAACCCTCCCTTGTCCACATCCCCTCTGCCCCCCTCGCATGGTTACATGGTTTTGACAGCAAAGGCAGTCCCTCCTTCCCTCTCCACAGCCATTCCCCTTCTCCCTCCACCCCACTCAACCCCCACCCCACTGAACCCCCACCCCACTCCGCTCTCCTTGTAGCAGGGAGCGATGTAGCGGCCGGTGCTAGCGGGGTAGACGGATTCGTGGCAAACAGCTGTGCGGGACAGATGGAGATTTCTCCCCCCCCTCCCTTGTTCCTCCTCCATTCTTCCCCGTAACCCCCCAACGATGCATGGGAGGGAGCAGGGAGCAATGAGGCGCCTCTTGCTGGCAGGGGCAAAGAGGGTTCCTCCTTGCCCTCCACAGCCCCCCTACCCTTCCCTCCCCCTTCCCTCAAGCCTCGCGCACCGGCAGAGATGTAGCAGCAGGTGCTGGCAGGGCTGGAATGAGGTGGGGCAGGCGGTGCGCAGTGGGAGGGGGCCAAGTGTGCGGTGTTGGTGCCTAATGTGGAGGAGGTGCCTGGGGAGGTGAGGGAGTTTTGAGAGTGAATAGTGTGCAAGGAAGGGGTGACAAGTGAGTGACACTGGCGACGGGCGAGGAGGAGGTGCGTGGGGCAGGTGAACGTTCGAGGAGGAGAGAGGAATGGGTGGGCCAGGGCGGAGGGTGTGCTGGTGGGCCAGGGCGGAGGGTGTGCTGGTGACAAACTTTGTTCAGAATTCGCATTATCACTTCCTCATGCCACTTTTTATTTCTCTCCTTTTTTGGCAGAACTTGTTCTCCCTTAGACACCATTTGCTGGTTCAAAGCACCCCTATCCACCCACTCCATCCCATCCTCCACAGTAAACCCTAGAGGCTGTCTTGACATCCACAGTTGCAAGTACCCCTATCCAACCAACCCCACCACCACCACCAACCTCATCCCACCCCGCTCCCTGCATCCCTTCCAGGCAATCATTCTGCTGCCTTCACAGTCAACCTATCAGGCAATCATTCTGCTGCCTTCACAGTCAATCTATCAGGCAATCATTTTGCTGCCTTCACAGTCAACCTATCATGCATTTCCAGTTCAAACCACCCTGTCCGCCCATCCCCACCTCACCCCACCGCACTCCATCCCCACCTCACCCCACCGCAACCCAACCCATCCATACCTCCTCTCTGTCCCCAGGCATTCTTCACGCAGCCAGCACAACCAATCTATTAGGATAATGCAGCATGCAACACCATTGCAAACGATCCATCTTCCATCCCCTCCACTAACCTCTCCCCACATTGTCTTCCATCAGGCTGGCTTGATGCAGCCCCACCCAATCACGCGCCGCCACGTGGCATCCTGGTGGGAGGGCATTTAGAGGTGGGGGTATCCTGGCAATGCTCGCAGCATGCCCTGGCCAAGGATGTGCTTCACATAGATGTGCTTCACATGGATGTGCTTCACATGGATGTGCTGCCAAACTGCTCCCAACCTCGCCTCAACTCCAGTCCAGGTTTCCTCCCATTGACTCTCTTGCTGCCAGACCTTCAAACCCAAGCGCCGCAGCATGAGTGCCGTGGCCCTTCTGGACGAAATTGGGGCTGTGTTTGCATCCTGTTGCCCTCACCACTCACCACTCACCCTCACCACTCTCCCACTAACTAATCTCACACCCCACCCTCCATTCGGCACAGCGACGGGGCCGTCCTTGCCTTGCGTTCTAAACTGAGTGCCATATGAGTGGCATGGCGTGGCCATTGTGGACGACATGGGGCGCATAGGCTGCTCAAGGGCGTGCTGGTGGAGGCAGAGCAGCGGAGGCGGCTGCGTGAGGGGCAGGCGGAGCAGTAGGGACGTGTGTGAATCTCCTCTCCCTCACCTGCACCCTCGCTCACACGCACACCCATGGGGTGCATAGACTACTCAAAGGCGGGCTGGCAGAGGCAGAGCAGGAGAGACAGGTGTGGCTGGAGGGGTAGGTATGGCAGGAGGGGCAAGCAGGGCAGGATATCACTGTCAGAAGAAGATCTAAACCCTGATGTCAGTCCCACCAGATGGTACTGCTGTGCAGGGAACTCACTCCCGATGCCACCATGCTCACACCACCATCTCCCTCCCACCACCTACCATCTCACTCCCACCACCACTGCCTGTATGAAAGGAAGCTTGCTGGAGAAGTAAAAGATTAAGGCAGCCATGATGCAGGCAAGACGCACTGCAGTAAATCGCAGAGGTTTGCCACAAAAAAAAAACTCCAACAACCCAATGATGACAGTTTGGGTGGTTGTGCGTGCCCGTTATGATTTTTTTCAACATATTTGTACATTACGTTATTTCACTGCTTTAGCTACATTCGTACGCTTTCGATCATATGCTCAGCATTTGTGAAGTATTTTTTTTGGGCTAATTTAGAATTGAAGCTTGATTTTTGGTTCATTTCCGTTACGAGTGCAATTGAGCTAGCGAGCAAGAATTACACTATCGAAGCAAAATAGTGCAATGAGCGAAGGAATGAGCAAGTCCTAAATAGCGAACGCCACAGTGGTAACGGTAACGAACTGTGGGTGACGCGCTACGGGCCTGGGACTGAGGTTGGGACTGAGGTCGGGAAGTGTCGAAGCGGAGGCCCGGAGCGCGGGTTACCTGCCGAGTCGTGAGGGTGGGTTGCGACGGGCGAGGTGGCGGGAAATAGAAGGCGAGTGTCGCGAGTGGTAACAGTGCCGAGTGTGGCGAGTACAGTGGTGTACGCGCTAAGCAGGGATGCGGCGTAAGAAAATAGAAACTGGTGGTAAGGAATTAGAAACAGAAGGGCTAAGAAGGTGGAGGACAGAGCCCCATGGCGTCAAGGAGACGGTGGTGAGAAACTTTCCCAAGGGGCTTGGTGAACAGATCAGCCAAGTTGCAGTCTGATGCAATGTATTCCACGTTCAACAGCTCCCGTTGGACAAGGTCGCGGATGAAGAAGTGCCGAAGTTCGATGTGCTTGGTGCGAGTGTGATACACAGGGTCTTGGGAGAGGTGGATGGTGCTCTGGTTGTCACACCAGAGGGTGGGGGTGGACTGTGGGTAGCCAAGCTCTTGGAGGAGGAAGGTGAGCCAACGGACCTCTTGAGCAACCATGGTGCAAGCGTAGAGCTCAGCCTCACAGGAGGAGAGGGAGACAGCAGACGACCTGGTGGAGCGCCAGCTAACAATTCCGCTCCCAAGGGTGAAGCAGTACCCCTGAGAGGAGTGTCGGTCGGTCTGGTCATCAGCCCAAGAGGAGTCGGTAGAACCTTCCAGTCGAGGAGGGGAAAGCCCACCGAGAGTGAGAACATGAGACTTGGTGCCCTGAAGATAGCGCAGTACCCACTTTGCTGCCTTCCAGTGAAGATCAGTGAAGTGCCCAGGGGCTACGTAGCGAGAGAGGACACTGACAGGATATGCCAGATCCGGTCGCATGCACATCATGGCGTACATGAGGGACCCAACAAGCTCCGGGTATGGCTCAGAGCAGGCCTCTGGAGTGGGTACAGCTGGGGCTGTGAGGAGGTGTTGCAGCAGCAGCGGGGTGGCAACAGGTGTGCACAGCTCCATCTCAAAGCGCTTGAGCACATTGTTGATGTAGAACTCCTGGGAGAGTGAAATGGTGTGAGCCTGGCGATCACGTGTGATCTCCATCCCCAAGTAGTGCTTGAGGTTACCGAGGTCTTTCATCAGGAGGGCCTTGCTCAGGGCTGCCTGGACAGAGGTCATCTGGGCTGAGTCCTTGGCAACGAGGATGAAGTCATCGACGTAGACAAGGATGTAGAATGGCTCAGAGTGACGGCTAATGAAGAGAGTCGGGTCAGCAGATGATAGGTGAAAGTCTAGGGAGAGAAGGACTTCTTTCACTTTGTTGTGCCATTTGCGAGGGGCTTGCTTGAGTCCGTAAACAGAGCGATTCGGCTTCCAGACAGTGTTGGGAGGGAACTTTCCTGGAAGGCCTTCAAGTCGATCCATGAACACTGTTTCCTTGAGGTGTCCTTGCAGGAAGGCCGATGAGGCGTCCATGGATTTGAACTCCAAGTCCTCTCGTGCAGCTACATCTAAGAGCGTGCGAATGGTGGGTGGTTTGGATGTGGGAGAGGATGTCTTGAAGAAGTCAAAGTACTGCTGCTGAGTAAATCCCTTGGCCACATAGCGAGCTTTGAACACTAGGGCCTCGTCCGGAAGCTGCTTCACTCAAAATAGCCACTTGCCCCCAACGATGTTAACCCCTGGAGGTGGAGTTTTGTGGTCAAAAGAGTGGTTGTGAGCGAAGGCTTCACACCCAGCTTCCATGGCAGCACGCCACTCGGCGGCATGGGGCCCCGAGAGAGCCTCTTAGTCGGTGAGAGGGATAGGGATGGTCGGGTTCTCCAAGAAGTTGAGCGAGGGTGATTCACTTATATCGGGGAAGATGTGCGAGAGCTGAGGAATGACATCGTAAAGGTCACGGAGCTCCTAATGCCTGTCTTCCGAAAGGGTAGAGGGCACATCCCCCCCAGCAAGAGGAGTCGGAGTGACCACTGAGCATCGAATGGCAAGAGCCAGCGGAGGAGCAGGCCCATGCGACCGAGTCCCATGAGCCACCAGAGAAGAGGGTGGAGCTGGTGGTGCTGGAGGGGTCGGTTTGGGAGGCTTGGGGGGAGAAATTGGCCGTCGCTGGTATGTGATCAGTTTGCTCGGTTGGGGGAGAGTGGGTTCTTGAGAGGGAACTGGGG